GTGATTATAAAAAGGATGACTATATATTAACTATATTAACTATATTAATTATATTAAACATATATTTACTATATTTACTAAATCTAATATATTATCTATATTTAATATATATAATATATTTAATATATTTAATATTTTTAATATTCAGTGTTATGTCTTTGTAGATCATATAATTATTACCTTTTAATAATAATTACAAATTATATTCTTATAAAATTATATATAAATATTATAATATGTTTAATTTAAAAGAGTATTTAAAAGTAAAAAAATTATATTACTAATTTATATCATAAAATTTTTATAATAAAGAAACTTGAGATTCAAAAAAATTAAAAAAAACATTATTAAATAAAAATAATTATTTATAAATAATTTAATTGTAAATATCTATTTAATAATTTTATAATTATAAGATGAGCTTATGAGTTTAATATAAAAATTATTATATATTATTAAAGAAAGTTTGTTAAATTTAACACAAATTATTTATAAGTTTAAAATAGTTAATCACTGATTATATAACTATTAATTTTAATTAAATTCTATAGAACTGTTTATTTTATTTAATACTTATTAAGATAAGCAAATTATAATTTTTATTATAAAAAATAAAATACTTATTCTTAAAAATTATATTATTATTTTATGAAATAATTAGAATTTTAAAATCTTTATTAAATTTTAATTTTTGATGATATTAAATTAAGTTTTAATTTAAATTAAAAATTTTAAAATCTGCTTTTCTTTACAATTATTTATATTAAAAATTAGTATTAAATTAGATTAATTAGATAAAAAATTAAATTAATATTTTATAAATATAATTTATTGATTTAACTAATATATTTTTAATAGGTATTATAATTAAACTTCTTTAAATATATATATTATAAATTTTTTCTCTAAATGTATACTCTTATTTAGTACTAAATATATAGAAATTATATAAAACTTTTCTTTTTAAATGTACATATTATATAATATTTAATTATATATTTTTAAATTTTCACTATAATTCTAAGAAAATGCATTTAAAGAGATTTGACTATATATTATTTAATATAGGTAATAATAATATAATAAATATGACTATTTTAATATTTTTATAATCCATTTATTAATTCAAAAAAAAAAATTTATTTTTAAATACTTTATTTTTTTTAATATAATTTTATAAATTTATATAAATCAATAATAACAGATTTATCTAAATTAAATTTATTTATAAAAAATATTTTATTTAATAATAAAAAAAAATAATTTAAATAAAAGATTTTATAGTAATTTTTAAAATAAATTTTTTAGACAATTAATAATACCTTTTTTAGATTTTAATAATAATATTTATTATAATAAAATATATATATAATATTTTTAATAAATAAATTTAAATGTATTTCTTTTAAAAGTATTTAATTCTTTTTATATTTTTTTTTATTTATAATTGAATATAATTAAAGATGATAATAAAAAAATAAAATTATTATTTATTTATATATTATTCTACTATTAATTTCTCACTTTTTAAATATATTTTTTATATATTTTATAAATAATATGATTGATTAAAATACAATTAGTAAATTTAATTAATGTTAGTTTAAAATTTTCTTTAATTGTATTTATTAATATTTATTATTATAGAAATTACAATTTCATTATTTAATTACTAATTAATTATAACTAATTCTAATAAATATTAATAAGTTGATAAAAAAGGTTCAATATTTACTGTAATTCATATTTTAAATCCTTTACTATATAATTTTAATAAAATATAAAAAATGGGTAAATTATATTTAATTGTATAATTTTATACTTGTATAATTTTTAGTTTATTAATATGTTATATTTTATGTTATATTTTATATATAATTTATTGCATTTAAGACATGCATTATTTACTAAAATGTCTAATGTCTCACATTTTTTTGATAATTACATTTAAATTGAACATTTACTCTAAATCCATTTCTAATAAAAGACTAAAATTAATTAATTTTTTATTTTTTGACAAACAAAATTTAAGTAACACATTTTTAAAGTAAATTATTTTTAATATAGTGTATGATGATAATAAAAGAAATAATAAAAATAATTTTGCAAACTTGTGATAACCAGTTTAATAATAATATATAAAAAAACAGAATAATATTTTCACTACTGTAAAAATGTTATATTTCTCATTTCTATTTTTTAAAATAAATATTAGCTTATATCATTATTATTGATTTTAATAAAATTATTAAGTAAATTTAATCTTTATTATAATGAAAAGATAATTAATAAGCTTGTATATTGATTATTATTGAAAATGCTTAATGAATAAACCAAAATCTTTTTAAAATAGAAATTCAATGTAATCAAAATATTCTAAAGTTTAATGAGTACCTTTATCTTTTCTTTTTTCTCATTATAAAGTAAAAAAAATTTTTGTATAAAATTTTCACATAAAAAATTTGTCTTTATTATTTCTTCAAGAAATAAAATTTTCTTTTCTACCAAACGCTAAGATTAAAACATCCTAATATATTAAAATATTTTTTTTTTAATATGAAAAAAGAGTTTTTCACTTGCATAAAGAATCAAACTAAAATTATCTCCTATTTTTTCTTCTTTTTATGTTATAAGAACTGGTGAACTATAATAAAATGTAAATATTTTCTCATTTTACAATTTAATAATGATGTTAAACTATCTTTTTACTAAGGTATTCCTTTTAGATTATATAGCCTTTACATGCTTTCACTTGTTTAAAAAACTAATAATGCATAAGTATAAATCATTTATAATTACTAAATACTCTTATTGTATTAAAAGGTCTCTTACTATTTTTTTCTTATAAAGACAAATCATTCTTTGGTTAATTATAACATGCTATTTTTTCTTGCAAAGTTAAATCAGTCTTAGATTAATTATAGCAATACCAAAATACTTATTAAATTTATCTATTTAGTTTATTAATTATTTTTGCACTTTCTTTTTTAGTATAGAAAAATAGTTTCTTACTTGCATGAAGAATCAAACTGGATTGTCTCTTACTTTTTCTTCCTGTCTATATTATAAGAAACAGTAGACTATGATAAAATGTAAGTATTTTTTCATTCTATAATCTAATGATGATATCAAATCATTCTTTTACTGAGGTACTTCTTTTAGATTACATGAATTTTACATGTTTTCACTTATTCAAAGAACTGATGATGATCATTTGTGACTACCAAATATTCATATTGTATTAAAAGACCTTTTGCTATTGTAACTGGATTGGATTAACATATGTGATGCAGAAGATTATGTCAAATATATCAGACATGTCTAATATATGCTATATACTGTATCTAACATATCTGATATGACAAACATAGTAGATATATCTGATATGTTAAACATATTTTATATATTAGATATATTAAATATATCTATTATATTCTTCTATGTAATAAAATTTATATAAATGTAGGATGGTAAAATCATGTAAAGCAGTCCAATCCAACTTTTATTTTAACCTTTAGTTTTCTTTTAGTTATACATTTAGTAGTAGTTTCCTTTTAAAGGCAATTGGCTTTTCTCTCAAATTATGTTTACTTCTAGTTTTCTTATTTTTCTTTATTTCTTATTTTATTTATTTTCTTATTTTCTTATCATTAAATAAACTAATTGAGATATTATTTATTGAATATCAAATACGTCTTACTGTAAACCATCAAGTTGCTATACAAGTTATATTGAATTACTACGTAAACTTTAAAAGAATCCCTACTTGAATATCACTTCTTACAGTCACGATTCGACAGGATCGCCGTTAACATTATTTTTCCCTTGCGAAGACAAATCATTCTTTGGTTGGTTATAGCAATGCCAAATACTTATCTACTTAATCAGTTTACTGACTTTTTTCATTTTTTTTTTTAGCGAAAGATTTCTCAATTACACAAGCCGGTAGCCCATTTTTAATATAAAAACGATTTAATGTAACATCTCTTTATTGGTAACGTTATAAAGGTATGAGAAAAAACTAAATTAAAGATCTATTTCTTTCCCATATGATTTATTACCATATTCTCAAAGGTGAGAGAATGTTTGAATGTAACTGTTTAGTGATAGAAATATCATTATCTTTTTCCATAATATTTAACAAGACAAATGACAAATATTTTATTGATGAAAAAATTAACCGAAAACGAGTTCAAGTGTATATTATTTATCATGTTAAATATCCATTTTACCATTCCATTAATGGCTACAAAAAAAAAAAATTGATTTATTTTATTTATATATTTTATTTTATAACCAAATAAGTATATATACTGGTATCAATTCAGGCATCGACACATAACATCCTTTAAATAATGGATGGCAACTTCAAATTTTTTCCGTTGACTTCGTGAACCGCAGAGACGAAAATTCCAAAATTGTCTGCAAAATACACTTGATTTGGATAAAAATTTGATTAGATAACAATCTGAATTTATGTATAAATTTTTAATGGATCTGATACGAAATCCCGATCCCAAACCCGAAAAAAACATCACATTATCAAAACAATATCCCGAATATCTTTAATATATCAACATAAATGAATCAGCCAAATTTATTCTTTTATAATATAAATAAAATTTAATATAGACGTTTCTATACATATAATTTGATTAAAAAAAACTTAAATGGATTAAAATATCGGTTCCTCATGACAAAAAATTTATATTCGACGGGCCCCTGCGTACCCCTTTTTTATTACGTGTTTAAAGTATAATAATACATTAAAACCGGCAATTAATTAATTATTATTAAGTTTATTTTTTTTTTATATTATTCTACAAATTTACATTATTTTATTTTATTTATTTATTTTATTTATTTATTTAATGTATAATAAGAAAATTATTAAAAGTGACTCCTTCTTTTTATAATATAAAATTTGATTTATGAATGGATCATAAAAATTGAAAGCATATAAAATTAAGTTGTTTAAGAAAGGATCACTGATCCTATCGTTACGAATCAACATCCATAGGTTCAGAGACAGGTGCCTGAGTCTTTGTGCCACGGGTAGCCCTAGTTGAACGCCGTTTAACAGGCGCAGGCTTTGGGACCGCCTTGGCCTTCCTTTTATTTCCTCCAACTGAGGAAGCTGGTGTTGTAACACCGCTGCCTTCTGTTTCCGCCATTGGAGGTTCCCCTTCATGCCATAATTCTTCAAGGCTTTTTGATGAACCAACGATGGTCGCGGAATTCGTGTCCTTCTTTCTGCGTTTATTTGAACGACTCTTTTTCTTTGTGTCTTCTTCATCATTCTTGCGTTTCAATTGTTGATCGCGGAGTTTAGCTTCGAGTTCGTCGTCTTCGAGAAGCAAAGACACGATTTCACGCGGCTTGAAGTCCACTTGCTTGAATTCACCACCAGATATAACGACCTTTTGAATCTATTGATTATCGAGATTATTGTTAGTTGAAATTGAATTAAAGAATATTACGTGTACAACTCTCGAATACAAATACAAGTATATACCTCATCTTTTTGTTTAGCCCGTTGTAATATCCTTTCTTCGATCGTCCCTTTTGTTATTAACCTATATACTGTCACTTGTTTTGTTTGACCCAAACGATGTGCACGGTCCATAGCCTACAAAGCGTATATGTTATTGTAATTTCAATTACATTTCTTTTCTTCTCGGTACAATATTATTTTGGTACAAACCTGTTGGTCAACTGTGGGATTCCAATCACTGTCGTAAAAAATGACTGTGTCTGCTGCGGTCAAGTTTATGCCAAGCCCACCAGCGCGGGTACTTAATAAGAATATGAAGATATCGGGCCTGAATCATGTTTTAAGATTATAAAACAAAAGATTAATATCAAAACAAAGATGAAGTTTTGATTATAATTAACGATAATTACTTGGTTTGCCAATCTTCGACCATATCGCGACGATCTGAAATTTTGGAAGAACCGTCGAGTCTTAAATACTTGTACTGGCGATATGAAAGGTATTCTTCCATTAAGTCTATCATACGTGTCATTTGGAAATAAATTAAAACACGATGTCCACCGGCTTTAAGCTCTTCAAGAAGTTTATCAAGTTTGAATAATTTTCCAGAATCCATGATTAATTTCTTCACGGCTAAAAAAAAAAAAAAAATTAATCGATTTTCCATCATATGAATATGAAAAAGGAGGAATATTTAATACATACCGGGAACACGCATGTATGAAAAGCCTTGGCCTCGTAATAATGGTCGTCCAATTATACCCTTTCTTCCGGAACTTGTTAAGAATTGACCAATAGGACTTGCAACTCGGTCTCTCTCATTCAGTAATTGATCAACACCAATCAGTGTAGCTCTTATTGAATTGTCGAACATAATTCGTTCTTGATCATTGTAGAAACACTTGTCATGACAGATAGGCTCAACGGGTGGAGCAATCACCTTTGGTATATAGCAAGGATCTAGAATAGCTAGCGCATACCGGGCCGAGTTCGCAAATATATTTGTTAAATTACCCAAGGCAGACGATTCTTCAACATTTATAAGAGAGATATTTGACGATGTTTCTGTGATCAAAAGACGAGCATAAGTATTAACTGGCGCGTTTGGATATCTATTAAAAAAATACATGATTAATTTTTCAGAGATTATTAAGAAAATGATTGTAATTATTATGTTTCGTTTTGTTCATACCTTGCGTCATCCTGATTCAAGTAAAATTTTCTTCGCGAACGTCTTGTCCTTTGTAAAAGATGCATCACCCATCTTTTTATCATATGGCCGAAGAAAATTCGTGATACGTCTGAAGGAGTAGTATCCATAAACTTCAGGAAAGCGAAAGAGTCTAAATAAAAAAAATTAAAATGTTCAGATAAAGGAGTTGATAATACAGTGATTTAGGCGCAGTTTACATAATTTAAATTTAACTTACTGCTTTCATCGTAAAAGGACTCATTTATATAATCTGGCTGCCAGATATTCATCAAGTGATCAAGTATTTTAGTTCGAGATCCCGTATTAGAATTATAGCTGGGAACATACAAAATACCTACCGTTCGTACAAAAATATATCACACATATAAGTATCTTTATTTCAAGTCTCAATAGTCATCAAGAAATACATACCACCATGTCGATATAACGTTTTTGGAATTTCATATTTGATCATGTTTTTTGTCGAGTAAGGAAGGTATAAATTATCTCCTTCGCGCGATATCATCCAAGTTAAACTGAATTTACAGAAGGAAAAAGGTGCTACAACGTCTGCCCTTTCAAACAATTCTGGATGGTTGCAAACCTTACGGAATTGCATAACCAAATTCATCAAGCTATCAACACTGTCATTATCGGGTAATGTAGCAGCCTTTTCCAATAGTTCGGATACAGAAATCTTCTCCCGCAATCCACGATATAGCATTCGTTGTCTTGCGGTCAATTTACAATATACTTCTCTCTCAATTTTATCACCAAGTTCATTCTGAACGTTCTTCTTAACACGACGTAACATGAAAGGTTTTAAAATCATATGCAGTCGCTTAAGTTGATGTTCGTTTAGAGACCCTTTGTTCTCGGCATGACTTTCGATATCTTTAGAGAACCACTCACTAAACTCTTGATGAGAATCAAAAAGCGTTGGCATAATAAAATGTAGAAGCGCCCATAATTCCTGCATACTATTTTGTATTGGTGTACCAGTTAACAAGAGTCGATTGCGACATTGAAAGCCTAGTAATGTTTTCCATCGAGCACTGAAATAAGGAAATAAGCATAAGTGAGAGAGCGCCAAAAAATAAATTTACATTATTTATATCTTTACCTCGAAGAGCTCTTGATAGCTTGTGCTTCATCTAAAATCATGTATTGCCATTTGGTTCTCTCGAAATTCGCCTTATCTTGAACAATCTATCGATTTAGATTTAGTTAATATCGATAAGAACGAACATAAATATTAAGTAAGATTTTTACCAGTTGATAGCTTGTAATTACGACATGGAAAGGCGCATCAGCATTGAAAATCATATTCTTTTTATTCAAAGTTTTCCGCAGTACATTTCGATCTTTAGGATTGCCCCAATATGGTAATGTCTTGAAGCTAGGAAGAAACTCGGAAATTTCTTTTTGCCAATTATGAAGGGTTGATGCTGGAGCAATAACTAAAAACGGTCCCCAAATATTATGTGTCTTAGAAAGAAAAAAGAAAAAAGAACGGAATTTTTTTTTTAAAAAAAAAATCAATTTTATTGAATTAAATAATTGCCTTAAACAATTCAAAACTTACTTCTGCAAGATGTGCCATCAATGATATAGATTGGACCGTTTTTCCCAAACCCTATAATAAATTAAGTTATCGATTGATTTATAATATCAATATTTGAATAAATAAATAAATAAATAAATCTATTACCATTTCATCGGCCAATATTCCATTAATACCCTTATAAGTTATTAACAATTTTAAGTTTTAGGATAATGCTTTAACTATCATACAATCATATATAATAAATGAAATAAATTATAAACCTGTTCATAGAGATTAGCTAACCAATTTAATCCCCTTATCTGATAATCCTTCAAAGTAACTTTAGCAAGTAAAGAAGGTTGCTTGATCTCTGCGCCCGACGGCATACTTGAAGGATTTTGGAAGTTCATATGATCCACTATTACAGGAAGTATAAATTGTGAGTAAAAGCGAGATTCCAAAATCATAAACCTAATGAAACAATTAACATACAATCCTTATTAGATAAGGATATATCTGCATGTTGAGTTTTTCTTTCACCATCAAAAATCTTGGTATGTTCCTTAACTTGCGCAAGGGCATTCTTGGCGCTAGCACGGGCTTTCGCTACAAGTGTATTATCATCCTCTAAAAAACAAAAGGGTGATATATATTTAACAACTAGTTTGAAAGTAATATTCTAATTCTTGTCTCTTGAAGTACCTTCGTCAAAGTTGATATCCTTGAATGAAGTGGCTGGCATAGAGTCTATATCAACGTCGATTTCAGTGTAATTATTGAGATCATCAGATGAAAATTCGGGATCTTGAGTGCTGGTTGCAACAACGACGGATAAAGAAGACTCTCCACGATCATCATCGGCTAATAAAAATTTTAATCATTGTGATTAACTCAAATCATGGCAAAACGTGTATTATAAATAAATACGTACTATTTATTTTTTTGCCGACAAAATGACTATATAGTTCGGTTTGTGTGATAAGGAAATTGAGTTTACGCGCTTGTCTTTTAGCTTCTCGCAATTCCTCCTCGATTCTCATCTTTTCCAAGGCTTCCTTCTCAGCCTTTTTGCGCAATTCGCGTTCTTCTTTTTCATTACGTTTCCAAAACATAAGCATCTATATTTATTAAATGAAAAGAAAGATCAATTATTATTTTCAATAGATTATTTCATAAAGATACGCTTTTAATAATCAGGAAATCTAATAACGGTACCTGTCGCATTGCCTGTTTAGCCTTGGTTTGAATATCTTTTGGAGATCTATAACATTTGGTAGTAGCTTTACGAGCTTCCTTCTGACAAATCTGAGCAATCTTGCGAGCATTGTTTGTTCGAAAGGTTATAGATTGATTTACAATCTTATGTACCTGATAACAATATCAAGAACTATTAAGTATATGAATAGATGGTCAGAGGAGGAATAAAAGTAGAAGACCTACTCTTGGTATTGCATTGCGGACGATATCTTTCCATATTCTTCTTCGTTCCTCGAGCTCATATGCTTCCTTTTGTTTCAGAATCTTTAAAGAAAGAGATTCGCGCCTTTGCTCTTCGGTTTCGCTCTATAAGTTTAGCAAAATTTTTAGAAATTTCTTATAGGTAAAACAAACCCTGATGTGAAATCTGATCATTACATCATATTCATGTTTCCTGGAATATCGTGAATCAATCTTCTTGACTTTGCGTGAAATTCGCCTTCGTCTTTTCTTGTTATTCTCTGTCCCCAATGACTTAACGATATCTTTGCGGTTACTATTACGAAATAAGAATCTCTTGCGCAACTTTTCTCTCTTTGCCTAAGGTTAAAGTACGCACTAGTTAATAAATTATAAATGAGGAAATATTTTGATTTTAATTTAAAAAAATTTACTTACTCTACACCTTTTTTCATAAGCATCTATAGTACGTTTGGTACGCTGATGTAATTGCACCATATATTTCACAACATCTTCACTATACTCATTTTCTAGGCTAGAATCCGAGCTATCATCAAAGTCACTTTTATCACTGTTACTTGAAGAACCACTACTTGATTCCGCCAATGCAAATTTAGATTTCAACTCCGCAGCAGTCATTGTTGACGAACCAAAAGTATGCCCGATGTCTTTGTGTTGGGTCAGACTATTCTTGTTTGAACGTGACGATAAAGAAGGTTCTGATTTGCCTGGTGGCTTAGAATTAGCGGAATAACGTTGCTTATTTTTCTGATTCTGTTGAATTTTTTGCTTCGACTGAGAGGTAACCTCTTGCGCTTGAGATGCCTGTGATACTGAACCAATAGAAGAGGAACTAGCAGTTCTATGAATCCGAGTTATTTTTACAGGTTTAGTAGCATGAGAAGCCTGAGAGGCTGAACCGATGGATGAAGAACTTGCCGTTCTACGTGCTCGCGTACCTTTTGTAGGCTTTTGAACTTGAGAAGACTGTGATACTGAACCTACTGATGAAGAACTTGCTGCTCTACGACCACGAGTAGATTTGGGCTTCGCAATTTTAGATGCCTGAGTGACTTTTGTAGCATTAGTCGATTCTTGATCTTGTGATATTCGTGACGTAATTTTTTGCGTTTGTACAGGGGTTTGAATTGTTTTTAATTTCTTAAAACGATTACAATAAAGTAAATGTTAATTCAAGTTAATATATGAATCTTTTCACCAACTAATAAAATTTACCACTACTAAACCGGACTTTTGGTCTGAAAGTTTTCGTGATGGCGGAAGATTAAGTTCTTCTTCGGTTGTATCTCCTGAATGTCCTGAATCTCGGACATCAGTTACTGTAGCAGCACTATCTTTATCATCGGTGCTATCTGTTGTTGTTTGCGCTATTGTTGATATTCTACCATATACATCATCTTCACGTACACCGCCAGAATTATTTTGTGATTTTGAATATGAATATTCCGAATCTTCGTTCGGATCTCTACTCAAAAGTTGTGGTATCGACATTAAGGTTGGTGATGGGCGCAACAATGTCTAAAATAATAATAATAATAATAATATATGTATTAGACGACGCTGTAATGTTCGGTGTAATTCAAATGATAATTTACCTCTTGCGGAACTATGCCAGCTCCATCGTGAATACGATGTACAGGAGCTTGATTTACTGCCGTATGAAAAAATGTCAACGGTCTTTGATGTGCTAGAAAAGAAAAAAAACAATAAATGAATTTAGTATTCATTGAAACCCTTTTTGTTCTCAATTTTTAAACTTTCACACAAAGATATCAATTGTATCTTTAATTGTCTTCTCACCGTGATCCATTTTATAGGAGGAATTTGGTATCTAATTAATAAAGAATAATAGAATTTACGTTTAAAAAGTAAGAATGAAAAACTTTAATAACCAAAGGTAATACGCGCGCTCTATGAAGATAAATTATTAAAAACTTACTTGACGTGCCGGAGGTTCCGGATATTCACCCCAAGGATAATTATAAACAATTTCTTGATGTTGTAAGGGCACCGAGTGTGACAAAGATGGAGGATAATCCGCATGATTATGTCTGTAGTGTGAATTACTGGACGGTTGAGAATGATACGAGGGAAAAGATATTGCTTGTTGTGGATAGTGTTGTGGGGTAGTGTGTTGAGGTATTGGAGGTGGTAAGTAGCTTGGTTGTTCTTCTGAGGAATTCAATAAGTGGTTTAACGAAGAACGTGTAGAAGAAAGTGGTGGTAATAAAGGTGGTTGACCTTGAGGCTGTTGGTCTGAAGAATATGACCTTGAAGCATGTGAACGATCTCTTGAATAATTATATGAACTCATAATTATCTTGAGAAAAGTTAACGTTATAATTAAAGTTATTCGTATGAAGCGAATTTGAATATTTCGACCAAAATGTTCAAGTTGATTGTAATTTTATAATATAAGCTGCGATTTCATCATAAAAAAAAGGTTACACGACATTGAACATGGTTGTATCACAAATAAAATAATGAAAGTAAAGACACATATCATCAGATGAAGCCACGGAGAGCCACTGTCGATTTCAATTAACAATTTATTCAAAAGAACGTTTCCCTTATCGAGAACGTAAACACGATCGCATAAATCACGTGATATGGGTAATTATTCTTCCCATGTTTTCTTTAGCTCTAAATATATAAATGTAAATTACACGTCTTACTTTTAAATATGCCATCTAAAAATTTTATTTTTTTATATTTTAATTTTATGGTTTGATCTCTCTCTCTCTCTTATTTTTTTTATATTAATTTTATGGTTATCTCTCTCTCTCTCTCTTTTTTTTTTTATAAAATAATTTGATAATAATTTTTTTTTAATGATGAAATAATCTTAAATTAGTATGCGCTAGAACTATTCCATGTTCGTCAGCTGCTTTGACAACTTCACTGTCTTGCACCGAACCACTTGGAGCGGCAATATAAGAAACACCGGATTGATGTGCTCTGTGAATGTTATCAGAGAAAGGGAAGAAAGCATCAGATGAAAGTGCAACTCCGGATAGCGAGTTCAAATGTGCGACACGTTCCTCTTTTGTTAAAGGTTCGGGAACTGTATTAAACTGTGATTCCCATGAAGCGCGTTCGAGACCCTACAAAGGCAATGAGATGAGCATTAAAATCATACGATAACAAACAAAAAAAAACATGCATTCAATGAATTCAGTATCACCTCGCCAATCTTATCAAGTATATACAAGTCGATTGCATTACTCTTGTCAGCCCTTTTGGATTCTTTCTTGAAATTGAAACCTAAAACTTTTGGATGATGACGTAACCACCAATTATCTGCCTTATCTCCCGCCAGCCTTGTACAATGGATACGCGATTGTTGCCCAGCACCCAATCCAATTACCATACCATTTTTTGCATAGCATACAGAATTTGACTGCGTATACTTCAAAGCGATCGTAGCGACAAGTAAATCGGTAATTGCTGATTCAGGAAGCTAAAACGCTCAAGTCGGTTAAAATCACGTACCATTATAAGAAAGTTAAATAAGTGGAAACTTGCTTACATTTTGATTCTTTGTTGTAATGTTTTCAAATAATTTCGCGTCAATTTGAACGTTGTTACGTTTTTGCTTTATGTTTAATCCGTAAACTTGCCGTGTTTCAAATTCTGGTGGTTCATAATTAGAATCAATCTATAATAATATCCAAAAACAATTAAAATTATTTCATAATCATCTTAAAGATTTGATCACTTGTAACTGACCTGAATAACGGTATATTTCCCTCCCTTTTTCTTTCGCAAGATTTCAAGCGCTTCTGCTTCGTAATCGGGTGCGATTATACCATCAGATACCTACAATTTAACGTCAAATTGGTATCGAGGCGGTCTGTATAACATTTATTAATTCCACATATAAGCATACCTCACGTGATATAATCTTTGCGGTGGGTACATCAACCGTATCACTCAAGGCGATCCAATCTCCAAAAGAAGACATTCTATCCGCACCTATAATCATTGACCGTTAGTAATACGTTGAAAGCCATTTATACGGAATATAGAAAACTAAAGTCACCTCGGGCACGAGCATACGCATTGGCCAAGGGCGATAATTCTTTTAAATCGTCAACAAAATAAACCTTCTTCTCAATATCACTCAAGGGAATCCCTACTGCAGCACCAGCAGGGGAAACATGTTTAAATGAAGCGGCAGCAGGAAGCTTAAGGGCAGCTTTCAATTCCTAAATTATGAAACGAGTGTTAACATATTTTCACGATTCAATTTTTTTGAATGTGAGAGCTACAAGAACCTTGACTAAAGGCCATCCATTAAGAGCATCAAGAAGGTTGATATAACCAAGTGATCCAGAGAGAACTAAAAATATTTTGATCATCAACCATGTTATCAAATAACTAAGTAATTCTTTCTATCACATGAAGTGTAAAAAAAAATAAACCTTTAATTGGAAGTTGTCCTTCTTTTACAAAGACTTGGGCAGGTATTTGATGAGGGTTTGTGCCATATCGCAAACTAAGTTGCGAAATATCCTTGGTGTATTGTTGCCTGAAATAATCGGATATTGCTTCATCATAATCAGCTGTATGGTTGAAAGCCTACATACGTTCAGTTAATTTGTTAACGTAATCATCCAATAATAATGACCTTCTAATAAATATATAAATGAATTGTTTTTACCTTTAAAGCGAATAACTGACGTGAATTTTCGGAAATTCCTCCACTCTTTAGTTCAGCTACGAGTTTAGAGTAATCTTTGGGATCAGAAAGGATCGTCACACGGGCATGGTTTTTTGCCGCAGCTCTCAGCAAGGTAACACCGCCTTATGAAAAATTCAAATTAATATAATAATTCATTCCTGTTGACCAAAGAGTAAATATTGAATCGATCTTCACCAATATCAATTTCTTCAACAGCATCTGCCATGCTGATGCCTTCTTTTGCTATTGTTTCCTTGAAAGGATAAAGGTTGCATACGACAATATCGATCTTATTGATATTTTGTTTAGCTAGATCAGCTTCATCGCTCGGAATATTGCGAGCGAGGATACCTGCGATTCATTAATCATTAATGGAAAGCAAATTTATACGTATCACGTGATGTTTAAATACGAACCACCATGAACTGCGGGGTGTAAGGTTTTAACTCGACCACCTAATATTTCAGGAGCGTTCGTAATCTCGGATACATCCCTGGTTATAATTTAAGCAACAACAGATGAATTTTTTTTAAAAAAAAAAATTGTCAAACTTTTTAGTTTTCCCATATTCAATAAATTTCTTATATGAAGAATTCTTTACATACGAGATAGGAATACCAGCTTCCCGGATCTTTTTGGCTGTTCCGCCGGAACCAAGAAGGCGTACATTTAAATCATTAAGTTCCTTTGCAAGCTCAATCAAGCCAGTTTTATCATAAACCGAAAGGATTGCTTTTTTAGAAATTGATTTATTAAAAATTTTATGAATTACTGCGTCATTTATTACGCTTCGTCAGCCTTCATTGTCCCGAAAAAATAAACGCGCAATATATAGAATGCGTATAGGATTACTTTGTTTTTTTTTTTTTTTTTTGAAAAAACATACCTAATTTTTGTTGAGACATAATTGTGAACGAACTAACTTTGCAAGTTTGAATGCTATTTGATTATCGAAATTTTGTTTAGATTATCAAAACCTGATTATCTCAAAAATTCTTTTTTAAAATTTTTTGAGCTTTCGTTCGTCTTGTAAGTTTTGTATAATGTTTCAAATTCCAAGATATGAAGAAGAATCCTCGCAAGGAAATTCCTCCTTGGCGAATGAGCGCTTAGCTAAAATCAATGATAAATTTAAGAGAAAACGTATCACAAAAGAAAAGGTTTCCAAAAAAACACAAGCGGACCTGAAAAAAACCGTACAAGCACCGGAAAGTCACAAAGGAAGTGCAAAAAATAGCGAATTAATTACAAATACTTCTGAAAATGATACAGTTCTTAAAGAAAATGAACAAGAGGATGAAAGAATAAACCTAAACCTTATACACCAAGGACAATACGAAGAGGGGCACATTGAAGAAATTAAAGTATTGCATTCCTTTCCAACATTTGATAAGCCAAAGCAGACACCTCAAGAAGCAGCTGCCGTCAAATTACTGGGAATACCAGACTGGCTAGCAAATCCTACCGTAATTGACCCAGAAACAACGCTCCCGATTGACGATTCATCTCTCGGATTATCTGATCGGTTGAGAAATCGATGCAAAACATTAGGAATCAATGAATGCTTTGCAGGTAAACATTTCTTTAATGAAGAATGATTTGGTTAGAAATTACAAATGTACAGCGTTCTGACGAGTTAATTTATTTTATAATTTCAATATGTTTCACATAGTTCAGACAGCAGTCATTCCTTTGTTGGTACACAATCGAAGATTATCAGATGTTCATATGCATCCTGGTGATATTTGCGTCTCTGCTCCAACGGGAAGTGGTAAAACACTTGCCTACGTACTTCCTATTATTGAGGTACGTACGATGTTTTCTTAATCGATTGGGAAAGGGATTTTATATCTAAAATGCTGATTCTCAAAATGTCAGATTCTTTCCAAACGCATAATAACACGTTTAAGAGCGCTTGTTGTTCTCCCAACCAGAGATTTGGTAGCACAAGTTAAAGAAACTTTTATCGCTTTCTGTAAAGGAACAACTTTGAAGGTGATCTCAAATTCTTATAATCGCATTATGTATGACTTGGAGTTAAAATTCAAATGTTCATCAACTTTTAGATTGGTGTAGTGACCGGTCAACAGTCGTTTACCCATGAACAAGAACAAATAGTTTGTAGTTCGGCGGAATTGTGAGTCAGTATTTTTCAAAAATATTGTTGCAAATTGGTAACCATAATTAACGCAAGCTTAACCTATAGGCTTATGGGAGGGAAAAGTAAGATTGATATATTAATAGCTACACCTGGACGATTAATCGAGCATTTGTCGATGACGCCCAATTTTACTTTACAGCACTTGCGATTTCTGGTGCGTAAGTTTATCAAAGTCTAATATATTTAGATATATTCTAAATTGACTTGCAATTTTCATGTAGATTATCGATGAAGCCGATCGGTTACTTAATCAAAGTTATCAGGATTGGTTGATTCACATACTTAAGTCTACACAGCAAATAAACGGCGTGGAAAGTGGGAAAGATACAATGGGATTTAACCTTGATGATTCTATTGGGTTGGTTTTCACGAGCATGTTTGTCTTGTAATTTGGTCTTTTATATTATTTGCACAATCCATATTTGACTTGGGGTTATTATATTTAGAGCCTCGTTTAATAACGATGACGCGATATCGTCTTCGATTATGGGTGCTTTATTTAATCTCCCGAAAATGGATGCCTCAGAAACAAAAGTGTCTGCGGTAGGTTGCCTTGTTAAAAAAATTAAGCGCTCCGTTTTTTTTTTCTTTCTTTAATGCTTAATTTTTACGGTATTATTCAATTATGTCGAAAAGATTCAAAAGTTGTTGTTTTCAGCAACTCTCACACGTAATCCAGCCAAGATTGCAAGTTTACGCCTGGTAAAACCACAATATATTTCTGTTCAATCCTTACATAAAGATGAAGGCGAAACCAAATATACACTTCCAACTACACTGAAAGTAAGATCGTTCAACAATTTATTAAATCTCGTGTTTAAAAAGAATTTTTATTTGACCCGTTATTTTGTGGGATTGTAGGAATTCATGATTGTTACGTCATCGTCAATGAAACCTCTCATTGTTCTTCACCTCCTTTACAATCTCCATATAAAATCTGCACTTTGCTTTACAAAATCCGTAGACTCTGCGCACAGACTTGCTAAATTAATTCAATTATTTGAGAATTCGAATACAAAAGAGTCTATACAAGAAAACGATAATATGATTGTTTCTATTGGATCGAAAATTGCGGCAGAATATTCAAGTGATCTAACCAAAGATGAAAGGAAAAATATTTTAAACAAGTTCAAACGTGGCGACGTTCGTTTGTGAGTATAAATAATTCAAATAAATCATTCAGTAACTCGATTCTAACGGGCACTTTTTGATAGATTAATATGTTCGGACTTGATAGCTCGAGGGATGGATTTAGATAGAGTGGATACAGTGATCAATTATGATAATCCTATCTATATGAAAAAGTATGTGCATCGTGTTGGTAGAACTGCGCGTGCTGGGCGTAATGGGGATGCATATAGCCTTGTAGAAACACAAGAGGTAAGAAAAACACTTCATTACCGCATCAGGATAAAGGTTTAATTTACTTATCTTTCCCTTGTCAAATCATCAGGTAAGATATTTCAAAGATATGTTAAGGAAAGCAGGACATTTAGATAAGGTTCAAAATATAAATATCAAGGCGACTTTGCTTGATCCTATGAAGGATGCTTACCAGGTTCGAAATTAACTTTAATTGACCACGATCGACTAATTAATTAATAATTATATGATATAATCTAATTTTGCTAATATATTTTAGCAAGCTCTAAATGCCTTTAAAGAATATATGAATGATTCAAGACCACACGCGATAAAATATCAACAAAATGATTCTATACCTATGGAAATAGATGATTATGATATACAAAATGAAGATGAAAACATTTTACAACAAATATAATTATTAAAATTTAATAAAAAGAATAAAAAATATTATATTCAAAATTTCAATTCTATTGAGCAGATTCCAAAATATATTATTATATAAATTATTTAATTTAAAAGTATCGGAGCAAAGTAACGGGGATGCCCATGCAAGAAGCATAATGAAATTTAATAGATTTGATGTCGGAAAAAAAAAAAAAGTTATCACAGCTTTTTTTATCAAAGATCACTGATGAATATATTTTTGATCTTAATTATAATCATTTGAAGAAAGAAGTAAAAAATAAATCTGTATGATCAATACACAATCAAGATTATATTTTTTTGGCGTCAATTATTTGTTTAACGGTGTAACTCATGACGTTGCCCTAATTAAGTTGACTTGGCCAATGAAATATCTTTATCTATCATCTTTCATCTGACAACACTAAACTACAATCCCATTCCACAATCTCAAATTAAAAATGTAAGGAATTTTTATTTAAAAAATCAGTTTTTTTTTCTCTTCAACTTTAACGAACTGATACTTTGCTGTTTGTTTAATTTACATCTTCTTAACCTCTTATCACGACATTACCCTACCTTTTTTAAAAAAATTTTTCAACGTTTATTTTTTATCTTTAAAACCCAGCTAATAATAAAATAATAAAATGGCTGAAGCACCAAACTATTGGTGGGTATTGGTACATCAGCATCATGTGTAATTCGTTCTTTTCCTTTAACTAATATTTGTTAATTTTATTATAATAAAACAAAATAGTCCCGTCTATGCCCCAGTATTCGGTGCCTTAGGATGTACTTCTGCTATTGTTTTTACCTGTAAGTAATTTCATTTACTTGACTTAAAAGACCTGAATTTTAAAGATGTAGGATGAAAGCATTAATTCTCTTAATGAGAATATTCGACAAAACTGTTCAAAATTCAGATTGCTTTATTTTACATGAAATTCTAAATTAATCTCTTAATTATTTTATTTCATTTCTTGAAGGTTTTGGAGCAGCATATGGCACAGCAAAAGCTGGTGTAGGGTTATCGGCTATGGGTGTCTTACGTCCTGATTTGGTTATGAAAGCCATTGTACCAATTGTTATGGCTGGTATTATTGGTATTTATGGGCTGGTCGTATCTGTCTTAATTTCTGATGGTCGTAAGTATCTTTCTTCAATTAATCTAATGAATTCAATCCACATTTCGCTTGATGTTTATATCGTCTTTATTATTTATTCGATAAAATTTTAAAGTCAAACAAGAAATGGCTTTATTTACGTAAGTTTGCTCAAACCTTTTTTTTTTTCTAATTTGTAATTTTTTTGGGATTTGGTTATTAACTATCAACGATCACTAATTTGTAGTGGATTTATTCAACTTGGAGCCGGACTAAGTGTCGGTCTTGCTGGTCTTGCAGCTGGATTTGCCATTGGTGTAGTTGGTGACGCTGGTGTGCGTGCTACCGCACAACAACCCAGATTATTCGTTGGTATGGTAAGTACACTTTAAGTATTTATTACCTTACTTAACGATCAATTTTCTTTTTTTGAAATCTAACAAATTTTCATTTTCATTTTATGAAAATAGATTCTTATTCTCATTTTCGCCGAAGTATTAGGTCTTTACGGTTTAATTGTGGGTCTTATTTTAAATACCAAAGCAAGTGGCGGTGACGTCAAATGTTAAATAATTAAGGGTAGTCGAGATCAAAAAACTATTGAGATAAATTAAAATAATACAATTTTTTTTTTTCCTTTTTTTATCTAATAAATCAATCCATTCTGCATTTCTTTATAATAAGAAGCTTGAAATAATGTAAATTTAATTGATTTGCTTCATTTAATCAAATTACCTTTTCTTACTTTTTCAAGTTTTGATTTATACTATATACATAAAGATTCTTTTTTTATACTTTGTATTGATATATTTTTATATTTCTTGTATTTTTTACTTAGTAAGATGAGAGATTTTGGTTTTATTTAAAACAAAAACATTTGGGTTGTGTAAAAATTAATAAAAAATAATTTCAGGCAACGAAAATATCATAAACATTGATTTTGATTTTGATTTTATTATTTATCGTTGAAAAAAAAAAAAAAAAAATAATAATAATAATTAACGAGCTTCAAATTGGACCACTTATTAACAAAAAAATAATCTCTGCGAAAAGCGTCGACAGCAGTAACATAATTTAATTAAACTTTCATGAATGTCTTGAAGCTTATACACGTGATTAGCTTAGCTATTTTCAGGTCTGTATTTATTTATTTATTTAAATTTCTCTTAGTTTATTTAGTGGAAAGTACAGGTGAGGAGAGTTTAGTCAAAATTATCCCTATAGTTTATACTGGAGTAGGATAGTTTATGGATGTGTTATGTAATTAACTTATCATAAAGACGCATATTAATTTTTCTTATATGAGATTCGTTTGGGTGCGAAAGAGAAGGATTTGGGGCAGATGATTCTCTAATTTTACGGTGAAAATCTTTTTTAGAGGAAACATTTATTTAATTTAATTAGTAAAGCACAAATCGAATTAATATACTTTTCTTACCGACTTTTATTTCTTTTCTCGATACTTTGGAATTTGATTAAATTAAAAAAAAGAATATTTTACATGTAATCATTATTATTAATTTTTAATTAAAATAAAGGACTTTTATCACCATTAGCAGAGCAATTTGTAATGTCATTACTACATCACTTTTATAAAGTAAATTTGGAAATCATCAAATTAAGTATAATGACAATAGATCAATACGGGGATAATAGTGAATTTCGAGAACGTTTTCGGTTTAACAAGGTGGGTAAATATTCATTTCTTTAAGTATTTTTTTTAATTAGTAAATTTTTTTTTCCTCCAAAATAGAGACCAAAGTTTTGAAATAACATATAAAAAAACCAGCAAGCGATAGGCTGGACATAAATTTCTTGGTTAGACATGTAATGAAACAATGGGAAGGATCCTTACATTATATAGTTGATATTAAAAGCAAGAGTCAGCCTAGCGTCGCTGTACTTAAAGTATTACTAGGGCTAACCCAGAAAAAACTTTCTTATTTTTCTAATCTTGAATTTCTTAATAGAAAAAGTAGAAATATATTACGAATAAAGGATTCCAAATTTTATTACAAGATATTAATAATCAAGTGTGGGCGTTTTTAATACATTATTTGCTAACGAGGAAAGTTTTTTTTTTTTTTTTAAAAAATATTTAAATTTCGTTTAACTGTTACATATGAACGTAGTGAAGGGTTATATTTCTTTTTAATGTTGGAAAGTTTAAAATTAGGGATGATATGCAAATATGATTCATTATTTAATCAGAACGGAGGATTTCATCAACAAGATTCTATAATGTAAGATGAAGTTGGTCGTGTTGATAAATCAAGTATTACTATTTAATTTACGCTTTTTTATACACGTTATTTAATATTCCTAAATTGTGTAGGAAGAAACGTCGATAGAATATTATTATCCAGCTAATCTTGCAACTATGTTATCATCGCCCGTAGTATTGTTGAAACCAATTTCTATTCAGGTAAGTTGTAGTGAAGTTCTTTTAAAGTTGTTCTTGATGAACACGATCGGTTATATGACTAAATTAATTTTTTTTTGTAAAAGTATCCAAATTACAAATTTCAAATGCTAAAAATTGTTTTGTGAAATTCAAAGATGATCCAAAGTTGGTTTGTGCAATGATTAAACATCAGAAATGCATTACACCACAAATCAGGTACCAAACATACTTTTAACCTTGATTATCGCAAAATGAATCTTTTTTTTGTTTTCCAAAAATCAAGTAACTTTTTTAGATAATTTCATATTTATCCAATCATGCGCATTCAATGAAGAAACGAATTCCTTTATTATCGTCGACAGTCATAAATAAATCCAATTATGGGAATAATAGGTTAGAATCGAATAAAGGTACGTACAAATAATTTTTCGCGATAAATTTTCTTTCTTATAGGTTATTTTATTTATACACGAATATCAAAATCAAGAGATGATATTGAAAATATGCAACAAATCATGGATTTGTAATTTGTCTAACGATAGAAAGCGGATGTTTAATGTAACGGAGGAAGGACATGAGCATGTTGGGAATTATATAAAGAAAAAGATCACTCAAAGAAAAACCAATGGTGATGGTGGTGTGGTGGTGTTGGTACACCTAATCATCAAAGTAACTGTAGTCTTCTTGAACGTAAAAAATAAAAGATTTTAATTGGATCAGATAATCAGTAAAATTTTTATGTATCACATGATCATTATCAAAAATTTTTTATTCGATAAAAGAAAAATCTTTCTTGCAGAACCAATTCTATAACGATGCATGAAAATAATACTAAGAGAGTATTCTTAGAAATTGAGGACGATGAGAACGCTTCGAAACAGCGAATCGGTTGGTAATTTATCAATGTCAATTACGTGTAAATAATAAATTTTTGACGTGCGTAAATTATTTTGTTAGCTAGCCTGATAAATGACTGTGGGGAAAACGTTACAAAGGATATAACCAAGAGCGAATTAAAGACATTTCCATTGAAACGTTCGGAAGATTGTGAGTTAATTTTATAAAATTTCTATTGTACCATTAGAACTTGTAATCTTTCGTTAACCTAAAGTATTAATACGATAAGTGATATCAAGGATCTCCGATTTTTTGCCAAAAATTGCTTCAGATAATAAAGAACTTGTAAAAAAAGTTGCCAAAGATATTAATATTGAAGAAGTTGAAGGCACGGAAAGGATCATTGAGATGGTATAATATAAATATACCAACCTCTCATTCTATTTGTTCGCTCATTATAAAATAATTAATTGTTTTATATATTCACACGTTCAGAACTTGGGATTAGGCGTATTCGAACAAATAAAAGTACCTTCAGAGTGCGATATTATAATGGATCCAAAAGGGGCAACTTCTAATAATTCAACTAAACCAAAAATAATAATGATGGATAATGGAACTAGCAATATAGAGGCAATAAATGAATTGTTCATGAAAGACGTCAAGTCATATAAAAAAACTAAAAGATCCAAATCACCATTAATTTTTAAGGATGATGATGAAGACCAAGAATTTTCTAATATAATAATGAATTCACATTCATTAGATCATAAGAAACCCAACATCATCGTCCTTGATAATAATCAAATTAGTGATGATTAGTAACGATTGAAACGATGTTTGCTTTAATCCAACAATAAATATTATATTAATTCGACAACAACTATAACGTTAATCGCTATTCCCTATAACTCGATGTAAGTTATCTTAATTTTAATCGTGGAATTAAATCAATGTTTTATGTTCAACTTTATCCGGCTGTAAAATTAACTCAAATGAAAAAAATTGATCTTATAATAGGAAGTTCTTTGCTGATCGATAACTTCTAAATCATCAGATAACTGTATGATCGAGCCTGCTGCCTCTACGTAATGATAATATCCTAGTAATACCAAATAGATTGAAAAAAAAAAAATGGATATATTTATTTATATATTTCATTGTTGTTCACGAAAACTTTTAAATCAGTTGCTTAGTCGCATTTAACCAGTATAGTAATTTACCAGCAACTACGACGCGAAGTAATACATCATTTATTTTTTTTAACTTACCAAACAACTTTCCAAAATTTTAATCGTATTTAACATCATCATGTAAGAAATCACCAATAGGAAAAGTTAATGGTTGATTGTATGAAGAGCAAGGAATATTTTATAAAATCTTTGAACGATCCGATTCTTTGAGGATATGCGGTTGTTCATTTGCCTACGTCAAATTTATTTACAAGTTAATGTCGACCTATTTTTAAAAATATGATTATTCCGGAAGAATTTTAATGATGTGTATTTACCAACATGTAGTATCTTGAATTCGAATTCGAAATTCCTAATTGAAATGGTATAATAAAAAGTTCTTGATAATTATAATTACAATTTTTAATTATCAGGTTCCTATGAAAAATGTAAAATAAAATAAAATGTAAGCATGTCGCATTAAGTACTAATTTAACCGCATTTTGATCACGACATTTTCTTTTTGAATTACCTACTTCGAATCTTGTAACATTTTATGTACAGTAACCTATGGTTGACCATCAACCATAAATTCACGTTAAACGAATCGTAATAACTTATTGATAATGATTCAATACGAAAGCGAGAAAAAAAAAATTGGTTAATTCATTTGCATAAAGTAAAGTTAAAGAATTAAAATCGGTCTTGATAATTTATTCGCCATTGATTTAAATAGCTAAACGTATTATTCGTATTATTGTAAATCTTTGACGCGTCTGTCGATCATCGTTCACAAAATTTATTAAATAATCGTTCTAAAAAAAAAAAAAAATTTATTTGCGCTTAGCTCTTTAGGAAAATTTTTCTTAATATTTTTTTTTTTTCAAGAAAGCGAACTATTAAGGTTTCGGATTTTTTTTTTTTAAGAAGCACGTGAAATACATGAAAAATCTTCAATAGTAAATTTTTATATAATAGTTTTGATTTAATTAGTTGACCGTGCACCTCCAACGACATATGCATATCGATATCCATTTTTTATAATTTATATATAAAAATTTATTAAATTGTTGTCTAAATGACAACAAAAGGCTATAGTACAATTTAGAATATATCTAAGCAAAGATTAATTACTATTATGTTTTTTTTAAATTTTCGAAATTTTTTTTTTTTTTTTAACATTAACCCGCAGTTGCACTTCCATAACGGATGAGAAGGAAGCGGAGCGGGTATAGGATGATAGAGTAGATTCATGCTATGAACGAGTTGAATTTATTGACTTGCGCGCTTAACCATCTAGGATTAAAATGTTAATTTAAAAAGGTTGATCATCATACTTTAATTTAGCATAAAAGGATATTTACCTCCTTAGCCCATCGAGTAACTTCTTTTGTACCATTAGGCAAATTGCGATTAGTTCGACCTTCCTTCAATGCAGCATGAACAAAATCGGCCACGAACCATTGTTTGATTTGGCCATTTTGGAAAGCTTCAGCTAGATCACTAAAAATTAATGTCAAAAAATAAAAACAATCATATTTTAATATCCACTGAGATCTTTATGACGAGAACATTAATAAAATTGCAATCACATAATCATTAAATACCGACCCAATTAAACCAATCATGCTACGGACAATAATCTCTGATCTATCAATATCATTCCAAGTCATCATCAAGAAGTTAAAGATTTGTTCGATGTAACGTAAGAGTAATTCAGCTGTAACGAATTAAATA